CCAGGACCAGCATTTAGCATAATGGCTATGTCGCTGGACTCCCACATAGTCAACTGCAGTTCAAGTCCCAGACCCGATGGCTTAAACTCACGCCAGGCGTGTGTGCGTGCATGCTCAAGATCCCGAGAGAAGAATGGAGGAGAAGTGATTGTGGCATGGCCATCCCCCCGGGGGGGGATTTCTCGCTTTCTGTCTCTGTCTCTCTCTGTCTGGCGAGCGCATGTGCCCTATAGCAAAAACCTCTCAAAAAACAAACAAACAAACAAACAAACAAACAAAACCTAGTTCCAGCACTCCTTTTTGCATCATTTCTATTCCAGTTCTACACACCAATCCTATCAGATATTCCCCATTATATTCTTTTTTTTTTTTTTTTTAAAAAAAAAGGTTTATTTCTTCCATGAGTGAGAAAGACAGACAGATAGCACACCCAACAGGGTTTGGGGACCACAATCCACCCACAGCTTCCACTGGCCCTGGATCATGGGCAAAGGGGTGTCTGGCTTACTGAGGGGGGTTTCCAAACACAAACCCAGACCCATGTGCATCAGCCTCACAGAGCACTGTGTTTTACCACGGTGCCACTAACCAGCCCCCCAAACATATTCTCTGCTCACATTTATTTCTCAGTAGTTTTAAATAAACTTCAACCTTATTATTCCAATGAAATTACTATACTCACTTTTTAAGGTTAAACTCGGGCACTGTCTTTTCCATAAAGTTTCTCTTAACTCCCTCTCCTGACTCTCTTTGTCCTTCATAATCTTTTCAGAGTAAATGAATCTTTCTCGGTATCTCTCATAACATTCATTCTGGCTCTTTTACCCCAGCTTGTCATAATTATCTGTTTACATATATACCTTCTTTTGCAAAACTGTAAACTCTTTGAGGAAAGAAAAGGTGTTTTTGTTACTATGTTTATGCTTTTCTCTATACTCATCATGTATACTTATCCAGGACCCTTGAGACCCAGAGCTCAATAAAATATGTACACTGAATTTAAAAGATATCAGAACCAGCAGATGGTGTAATGACTATGTCACTGGATGTAGCTGACCATGGTTTGAGTCCTGGACCCAGCAGCTTGAAACTCACACCAGGTGCAGATGTGTGTGTGCCCAAAATCCAAGAGAAGAATGGAGGAGAAGGAATTGTGGTATTATCATCTCCCCAGGGGATGATTTCTCACCTTTTGTCTCTCTGGTGAGTGCACATGCCCTATTAGCAAAAATCTCTCAAATAAATAAAAAAAGTTTTAAAAGATGCCTGATTGCTGGCAATGTTACGAGTTTTCTTCTGGGTGTTAGATACACATACATATTCAGTTTGTAAAATTCATCAGCTGTATACTCAAGGATGTATGTACTTTCTGTATGTATGTTATACTTTAATAAAAAGGAATATTCCAAGGCATATCAAGGTTGCACTTTCTATCTTCTAAGACAGTGCAGAAAAGAATGTCATGATACCAGAGTCATACTGATGTTGAGGGAATACTCAAGACATAAAATCCTTTCATCATGACAGGCAGAAGAGAGATGCTTTATGGTTTGAAAACTTTCTAGAATGAGACTTTCTGGAGACTGAGGTTCATTAGAGAGCTTGGGATGGGAACTCACCAGTGGGATACCAAAAAGGTTGAACTCAAGCATGCCAGGGATGGACCATCGAAGGTCATCCCATGTGGCTGTGTTGTCTCCTAACCAATGGGCTGCGAACTTGCCAGATCCCGCAAAGGTAGAACGGGTCACAATGAAGCTTCTCTTATTAGGGAACACAGTCTTGACAGCTCTAGAAAGGGAGAGAGGTTAGGGAGTGGAGTGTGATTTTAGCTTGTCTCAGCCCATGATCAGGCAACCATACCAAGGATATTTAAAACACATACCCTTCTTCTCTCCTATTGCTCTCCCTAAAGCATTGAAATTGTAGTTGGGAGCAGTCTGACTGTTAAGTACATTCATGGTTTTTTATTTGTTTGTTTTAAGGTGTTTTGTGCATATCATTAACCATAATTTCCAAGACTTTCAAAAGCAGCCTTGAAAGTATTAGTAACTAGAGGTATACAACCTTCAGAACAAAGATAAAATTTAACTTTACACAGGTGTATACATTTTGGTTTTTCATGTCATTATACTTTAGACACACAAAAAGGGACTTATAAATAGCCTCTTAGAACATAAACTCTTTTAAGTTGAAACACTTTGATAATAATTTCAATGAGAAAAAAACAATTAAAAATTATATATGTATGTGTGTACTTTTATAAACAGATTTATATCAGTTACACATTTCAATCAGAAGTCTGTATTTCTACTAAAAACTTTGGCTATAGACATTTTCTTTTTGTATTATTGATCAACTTTATTTGATTGAAGAATTTTTTAAATTTTAATTTATTTTATACATTGAATCATTGCACATCACTACAGCTTGTGAAATGAGTTACCCAACATGAATATACTTCACAGTAAAGTTGAAGTTATAATACATGCTATCATCAACAGACGGTCCTCCTCTCTGTGTTATAATACAGGCTATCATCAACAGACGGTCCTCCTCTCTGTGTCCCCTAAATGTCTATAGACATTTTTTAAAACTTTCAGATTGACTAAAATTACATCTGTTACCTCACTAATGTATGGTTGCATTTTTGGTCTTATTTTCTAATGTTGCTATTATAGTAAGTAGAATTAATTGTCAAGACCTATTCCTCACAACAGATTTGAGTCCACATACAAAGGTAAATGGAACTTAGAAGGATGCTGAAATAATATTTAAAACTCATGAATAGCACAAGTTACTTAAAGCCTCATACTGTAGTCTAGACAGAACGGCAGAAGGCAAAATACATGGGCTTTGGACATATAGACAAAAAGACTTAAACCTTGCTTTTTCGATATATTGTTTAAATTCGGGACAGTTTCTTAACTAGCGTTTCTCTGAATCTTCCATTCATTCATTTACTCATTTATTCGTTTCTTTTATAACTCCACAAATATTGAATCCCTTCTTTTCTATGTGCCCATTTCTTCATTCATTTAACAATGACAACCATATTTATCTAGTAGAGTATTTAAAAATAATATACATAGGGCCAGCTGGTGTTGTGGTGGTTAAGGCACTATACTCCCACATGGCAGACTGCAGTTCTAGCCTCAGACCTGATGGCTTGAAAATCACACCAGGTGTATGTGCATGTGTGCCCCAAATCCCAAGGCCCAAAAGGAGAAGAAGGAATTGCAACATGGCTATCCTCCCTGAAGGTGATTTCTCACATTCCTCTGCCTCTCTTCAGCGAGCACATGCACCCTACAGGATTCAAAACTAAAAATAAATAAATAAAAACATTCATGAGTCATCTGGCACCTAGCAGATCATTCATTTGATCACATATGTCTATTGTAATAGCAATCTTACTCTGCTGTGGCAATCGCCATGCAGTAGCCATACAGATTGTGGACGTCATACTGCTTGCCCCAGTGTTGCACGGCATCCATGCAGAGACTCTTGCAAAACAGGCAACCACCCAGGACATCTGAAACGGGAAGGATCAATGGGTGAGAGCCTGAGAGGCACAATGCCTGGTCCCTGACTATTGCACACCCGGAAATGGCAGCTCCTCTGGGAAGACATTTATTGTGTCCATCCTGCAAACACTCTGACTCCTTCCTCACCATCAGAAAGCTATACATTAGGGATAGTTGGCAATTTCTCTTATATGTAACCATATTGTACTGACCCACATACATTCTCCAACTGGGCTCTCATATGATTATAGGCAGGCATTTGGTTTTTATGTTTTGTTTTGTTTTAATTTTTTTTGTGGTCAGAGTATGTGTGAACTCACCCACAAGAGATACACACACACACACAGAGAAAGTAAGAAAGCACCCCCAATGAGGGATGGTCACACTGAAATTTCTTCTCCATTTCTCCCTTTTGGATTTTGGGCATACATGCTCTCACTCCCAGATGTATTTTAAGTGACCAGAATAAGGACTCCAACTGCACAGATGGTCACATGGGATCCAGCCACCTTAATCACTATGCCAGGAGCTAGCCATAGGCAGGCACTTGAAAGTAAGAGAAACCAGGTGGAGATTCAATCTGAATTCTTCAAACTAAACTAAATTATGTGGTTCAAGAATAGAAATATTGAATGAAAGTATAAATTAATTTTTAATTCTTCTCCCTTGATTACATAAGCAGAAACTTCAAAAGTTTGTGGAAAAATGAAACTAAAGTATTAGTTTATTTTGGTGCCCAAGATTTTCAAATTCACGTGCAATTTTTTTCATAATATGTATTTTCCATAAACTTTGAAGACCCCTCATATTATAATGATTTCCAATCGCTCTTTTCACCTTTTATTGCACTGTTCTGGTTTAGATTCAAAGGTCATTTGGATCTTAATGAATGTCAAAGCTTCTTAATGATTTCTTTATCTCTGATTTATCTTGTCATTTATACCGCCTATTAGTGTCAGATTAATATTTACACAAGGATAGGAAAACACTCACATATCCATTTGTATTACAACATTATTCACAATTGCTAAGAGACAGAATCAACCTAAACATACAAAACTGATGACTGGGTAGAAAAACTATGAGACTTATATACTATGGATACTACTCATTTGACTCAAAGTGAATGATTAAGAAGACTTAGTGCTAAGTGAAATGAGTCAGACTTTGAAAGGTACACACTATACATTCCCAATCAGTATGTACCAAACATCTGCATTCTATGGCAGAAATGGAAAGGTCTAAAAATCAGATAGTAGAGAGGATAAATGTAGGTAGCACAGACCATAAAGGAGGGGAGTGGTCATAGAGAACAGGTGGTAGAGGGTGGGTGGGAGGGGTAAAGGGAAGAAACATTTAACAGACTAGAAATTGTAGAGGTCTTTCAAGCATTTCTATAATATCTATTTTATAAAAATAAGAAATATAGAGGTAAAAATTTTTCTCAGCACAATTTGACTATTGTACTTCCTTCATACTAAAACCTAAATAGTTTCCACCAGCCAGAAAGTTAAGTTAACTTGGCCTCCCATCCAAGTTCCTTATCATTTGATTCCGACTTAAGTAACTCAATCACCTATTTTCCCACCAGATTGAAGCCTTCATTACACGTCATAATCTGAGTAGCTTTGTTCCTTTTTCAAAGATACACTTTGCTCTTGAGCCTCTCACTTTCTTCAAACTATAACCAGAGCTGCGATTCCAAGACCACACCCTGAGATAGTGTTGTTCAAAGTTCAGTTGAAGCTCGGGAGTACCACATTCACTGACTCTGACTTTGACCTGCCAGGTCACAGGTTCTGGCTCCCTTCCAGCCCTGGTTCATGTCTGTTGGTAACACTGAAGACCTCGGCCAACTTAACCCTCACCAGAAGACAAAGTCTGGTTATCTGGTATCTCCCCAGAAAGTCCTGGCCTGTGGTGGGAGTACACTTGAGAATGATATTAACCAACCACTAGCCTATGGCTTCCACACTGTTCTCTCTGGACCTTCCCTTGGAAATAGCTTGGCCTGTACATAGGATTAGAACACCCATTTTGAATGCATATCTCTTTAAGGAAAGCATAGAGTATTTTCATTTTCTTTTTTACTTGTTTTTAGATATTACCCTTGTTTTCTTTGCCTGTGCATACTTCTGTACAAACTCCCTTACTGGATTATTCAGATCTATCCTTTTGAGTTTAAAATATCGAATATGCATTGATAATTTAATCAGGCTGATCACTAAGACTTACTGGGAGTGAATGGTGGATTATTTAGGTTGTTTGCGGAACATCCTGAAATTGAACCATCAACAAAGTTGGAGACTTCATTCATATCCTACAAGACAGACAACAAGAATTATTAAGGAAAATTAATATGTTCCTTATATTATACTAGTGGCTTTTATTTTTAAGGAACCAGAGGAATTACTCCAGATATTTCTTTTTTAAACAGAGTACTTATGAACATGGCATGAAATACAAACACATGTTTCTATCTCCTCTACTCATTCAAGGCTTCATGGTGAAGGTCCTTAAATTCCTTTAGGATGATATCTGTATAATCACTGAAAGTGAACAATTTCCAAACATACTCCATGAAAAAAAAGATTTTAACTTATTATTCCATATATATCAATGTGATTATTCTCTATGTGTTTAAACATAACTGTGAATATGTACACACACATAAATGCACATACATATACCAAAATACATGTGGGGGAGGAGGAGAGAACGAGGACACACAGGCCAACGTGTAGAAAGGAAAGGTCTGGGAGAGTGCATACTAAAATATTGATGGCAGGAACCTTTGCTTGCTATCATTTTGGAGGAATTTGTTTTCACACTTTTAGCACTCTCTTTTGTTTGAACTTTCTACAGCTCTCTTATAACTAGAAGAAAGCTCATCTCTAAATCTCCTAAAACAGCCCAACATCAGTTGGGCTGCATTTGAAATTACTCCTTACTATGGCCACATTTTTTTCATGGACCTGGATACTTTGACTCTGATCAATTTGACTCAATGAAGAGCTTTGAACTGCAAATTGAACAATTTGTTTGAACTGCAAATTGAACAATTTGTATCCTTTGTAACAATGTAATAAGTTCATTCATTTGTATAAATAAATAAATAAATAGATTTGAACTCTGAAAAATGTTTCTGAGCTCTTTCCAGCTCTAACATCCTTATTTTGATTCTGACAGCCTACACATTTTGGTAAGATTATTTGAATTGTAAGATAGGGAATTCTAAGGATTATCATATTGTCTTTCCTCTCTTCTTCTCCTTATGCTCTATGGCTCAAAGATATAGATAAAAAAATAATCAGAATATTTGTCACCGGGCCAGCAGCTGGCATGGAGGCTAAGGCACTCCATCCCACAATGGCTCAAAGATATAGATAAAAAAAATAATCAGAATATTTGTCACCGGGCCAGCAGCTGGCATGGAGGTTAAGGCACTCCATCCCACATGACTGGCTGTGTGGTTCAAGTTCCAGACCCAGAAACTGGAAAATCACACCGAGTACAAGCATATGCATGCCCCAAATCCCAAAGAGAAATTGGAGGAGAACTGATAAAAGCATTGCCATCCCTCTAGGGGTGATTTCTCATTTCTCTCTCTCTGTCTCTCTCTGGCAAGCGCTCACACCCTACAGCCAAAACAAACAACCAAAACAATCATCTAATAACCAAAGTGTGAAGAACTCACAATCCAGATTCCATCAAACTCCACTTGATTGTGGAAAAGCTCAAATTCCCTTGTCCACCAAACTGCACAGTTGGGATTGGTGTAATCAGGAAAAACAGTTCTTCCAGGCCAGACCTGCGAAAGAAAAGAAAAAACACTTAGAGTAAATTAAATGAATACAGAATATATTGCAAAGA